TTTCCTAAAGTTCATCGTCACAGCCTCTGCCAGCTTCTCGTCCTGCTCCAAACGCACCATGTTGTGCACAACACCTGTCGATTTTTCTAGCGTAAACATCGTCAAATGATTCGGCAGGTATTCTGGAGCCGTATGTGGACGTCTCTCTGCCGCGCCAATGTTTAAGCCAACGGTGCTCGTAGAGTCCCGCTCTAATATAGAGCTGCCGGCCGCACGGTCTTGCTTGTTAAGCTCCCCAACAAGGACATCATGAAGAGTGTCCTCCAGAAGAGACTTGACAGACGCGCACAGCATCGTTGCCGCGTAATTTTTAATATTCATTGTCCGCTGAATGTGTGTCTCCAAGAGATCAGACAAATTCTGAAAGGACGCAATCGCATCAATCGGCACAAAAAGAAATGATGAGTTCTGTTGTACAATGTTTTGCTCCAAAATCTGCGTTGCGGCATCAAACAAGCTTGTCATTTTACGCGTACTCGCCACAACCTCCACCTTCAAGTCGTTCCCCTGCATTCCCGGCCTGCTGCAGGCGGTACGGTTGCCCTGCAGATGTTGACACACTGGCGCCACAGACTCGCTATTGAGTAAAATATAAATCTCATTTGCTCCATTCCCCGCGAGATTCTCGAGGATGTAGTCAATGATGGGTGTGTTGCAGACAGGCAACAGGGCGAAGGGAAGTTCCTCTGCTGGGGCGACAGGAAACAGAGGGTGGGAGGAGGCGTTAAACACCTCCCCAATGACAATAACAACAAACGGCGGGTTTTGACGCTTTCGTCCCACTTCCATCCCTCGGCGTGATGCGGAGAAATCCATCAATATTGCCACTCCAGTCAAACAGCCGGGCTACTGTCTCCTTCCGTCACTTTCTTCTCCGCCTGACGCCTTCTTATTCCTCTTATTGTTATTCTTATTATTATTGTTGTTGCGGCAGTAACGTGCACAAACGCCACACACCACCCCGTTGGCAAACATTCCAAAAAAAGAAAAAAAAACTGAACGGACAGCTCACCTTTGCCAGCAACATCTGAAAAGGCAGCACAGTGGGATGAGAAACACATGCATAAACAAGTATACACGTCCGTTTTTTGTTTCGTGTTTTTTTTTTTTTTTGTATGTGTGTGTCTGTTTGTGGTGAGAGAAGAAAGGAGAAATGCCTCTGAAAATAAAGAAACAAGCAGACACAGGCGCAAAGAAACTTCCAATATTTTTCCCTCACATCCTAATTTATTCATTCATGCGTTCACCCCTTCTCCCTACCACATTCACCACACCCTTTTCCCTCTTATCATGCATTTTGTTCCCAAGCCGATATTCCTCCACCCTCTGGGTGTAAACAAAAGTATAAGTGCTCTTTCTTACTCCCACAACCCCGCCTTTGCTTTCCTGCCTCTTCAGAGTGGGCGGGTGTTCTGTTGTTTTTTTAATCACTGAAGTCATATGACGATGAACCGCTCGAAGCCTCATCATCGTCGTCTTCATCATCGTCATCGTCGTCATCAAAAAAAGAGTCTTCATCGCTGCTGCTGCGGCTGCTGCTGCGGCTGCTGCTGCGGCGACGTTTCCTGGAGCCTTGCGACTTCTTCGGTTGTGATTTCGGCCGTTGTGGTGACCGCTTTGCCGGTGGCACGGGAGCCAACTTCTTCTTATCGACGCTGCTGACGCCCAGAAGCGCAAGATCGTCGTCTGTGTCCGTGTCAATTACTGGAGCCACCCGCGTTGATTGTGGTGGTGGTGGTATGAACGCTGCAGTTGTTGTTTTGGCGGTGGTGGTGGTGTTTTTGTTGTTACATTTCGGCGCGGTGCGTGTGAGAGCCTCAATGCCAAAGTCGTCAATGTCAAAGTCATCGGTGACGACAACTTTCTTCGCTGCCTCCTTCTTGACACGTTTGAGGCCTTCCTCCTTCGGTTTCCGCGGTGCCCGCTTCGCCGCCGGTCGCTTCGGCTGCGGCTTCTTTGCCCCGCCGCCCGCGTTGTTGCCGGGGCCGTCATCGCCCAGCACGACACCATCGCTGCCGCCGTCTTCGTCGTCGTCGTCGGGCCGCCAACCCCTTCCACCACCGCCGCCGCTGGCATCACTCATAAAGAGATCGTCATCACCATCAACGTCATCGCTGTCGTCATCTGAGTTCTTCTTCCGTCTCCGCTTTGCCGCGGGTTTACGCCCGACTGATGGGTTTTTACGGTCGCCACCCGCGTCGCCATCCACGCGTGCCGCACGACCGCCCTTCTTTTCGGTTTTGATGAACTCCTTCGCGAGTGCCTGTCGCGCCTTCTCCGACAGCAGCGGCACACGCAGCCGTCGCGGGTCGAACGATCGCTTCTTCTCCATCTTCTTCCGCTGAATGGATGCAATCTCCTTTGCGCGTTCCTCAAATAAATTCTCAATGCGTGGACGCAGCTGGTTAAGGTCCTCCGCCCACAAATCCTTCGGTGTCCGCTTCTCCAGCGCAGCAAGTTCATCACGCGCCTTCTGCAGCTGCGACTGCAGCCGCGCGATCATTTCCGCAGTCAAATTCCACAGCCGCATCCCTAATAAATAGTCGTAGTCCCGCGCAGCACGTCGCATCTCGGGGGTTTCTTGATTGTCCTCATCTCCCCCCTCATCGACGGCGGGCTGCAGCACAAGAAAAACGTCCTCCGCCGTGGCGTGTGTGGCATCCGCTGCACCCTCCTCCTCCCCCTGCTGGATTGTGGTGGAGCTCACCTTCTTCTTCTGCTGGAGAGGGAACGGGGCGTAGCCGCGCTGTCGCAACTCCTCCAGCAGCTCCTTCTTGCGTCGCCGCGTCACAATAAGGCGGCCGTCCACCACCTCCGTCACAAAGCGCACCATGTTCTCCAGCTTGGACGCAACAGATCGCAGGTCACCAATCAAAAAATCTCGCCGCTTTGCGTAGTACTCAAGGCGCACCAAATAAAACTCCTTTAGTACCGCCTCGGCGTCGCGGTACTTCGTGATCTGCCCCTCCCTGTCAAAGGCAATGATGTTTGTGGCGTGGATGTACTCACGCAGCTGCAGCCTCTCCTCCACACAGCCTTGCGCCACCCAATGATGGAGCACCTCGGGGTGTAAGAAGACCTCAAAATCAACTGTCACATCTGTGTTGTGTTCGCGGTACTGTACCACAACCTCCTTCTCGCGCAGCTCCTCAAGAAACTTTTTATAACCCTGCGTCCACGTCCCAATAGGCAGCTCTGTGATTTGCACAACACCGTCCGGTCGCACATTGGCACACCCTGTGGAGACAAATTTTCCCTTTTCCTTCTCTTCAATGGTGCCGGCGAAACCAAAGTACCATGGCTTCATCGGTTGAACCTCCTCCCCCCGTAAAAGACGCATCAAGTTATCTATGACTTCAAGGGGTGAGTAGTTGGGGATGTTCGTCGCAAACCCCGTCCCGATACCGGAGGTGCCATTCACCAACACCATCGGAATGACCGGCACGTAGTAAAAAGGCTCCACCGAAAGACCATCATCATCCTTGTAGTCCACAACAAAGTCATCCGATGGGTGATAAATGTACCGCGCAATGTTTGTGAGGCGGGTAAATATGTAACGACCCGCAGCATGATCTTTTCCCCCCTGGAGTCGTGTACCAAACTGACCGTCTTGCTGCAGAAGCGGTACATTATTGGAGCCCACAAAATTCTGGGCAAGTCCCACAATCGTTTGTACCAGCGATTGTTCCCCGTGGTGGTACGCCGCATGCTCAGAGACATAACCGGCGAGTTGGACCACCTTAATGGAACGTGTGAGACGACGCTTGAAGGAAGAAAAAATAATCTTACGCTGTCCAGGCTTCAAGCCGTCTATTACACTCGGGATGGAACGTTCGCAATCGGCCACAGAAAAAAGAATCAGCTCCTTGTCCACAAATTCCGAGTACCTCACAGTTCGAACGTTGTAGTTCATAGACTCGTTCACATTTGTGTTCGCCTTAAATTGTGTGATCCAGTGCTTTCTTTCCTCTACTTTGTCCTTCGCGAAGGCCATGACAATGCGGGCGTCATCGGTTGCGTCCTCATGCACAAAGTCAAGCCGGTGACGGTCAATATTCTCAAAATACTCACGTCCCTCCTTCGCGCCTGAGGTACCGAGCCCTTTGTAGTACCGTATTTCGTAGTTTCGTATGCCATCGCCAATGGCGTTCTTCCACTCAAAGTAGTCCGGCATTGAAAAGAAGGAAATGGCACGATCGTCACCATCGGAACGTCCTTTTTTACGTGCCTTAACAATAGGCGTAATGAACTGCTGCAGGAATCCAGGTGTCTTAATTAAATCTGGCCAATAGTGGTGAATCATGTTGATGATGAGGCCTTTGATGTGGGAGCCATCATGATCCTGATCTGACATGATCATCAGGTGTCCGTAACGCAACCGTTCCACGCCGCTGTACTTTTGACGAATGTCAAGGCCCATGATCTTACTGACAGCTTGAAACTCTGCACACGCCATTACTTTTTTCAGTGTTGCGTCACGCACGTTGAGGGGTTTCCCACGCAATGGAAACACGCCAAAGTAGTCACGGTCCTTCACGGCAAGTCCGGCCGTACAAAGCGCCTTTGCTGAGTCCCCCTCCGTGAGGATAAGGGTACAACGATGGCTATACTTTCCGCCCGCTTCATTCGCGTCATCTAATTTGGGAATTCCAAGAATCTGCTTGCGGTCGGCGTTGCGCAGTTTGGAGGCAATCTCCCGCGTCAGTTTGCTGTTCGCCATCTCCACCGCCCGCTCCACAATGCTGGATTTCAGAATGCAATCGATCATGGAGGGTGGGAGGTCGCAGGTGGATCCAAAGCGGTTCTTTGGCGTGTTCAGTGTCTCCTTCGTCTGCGAGTCAAAGCCGGGGTTCTCGACGAGGCAGTTGATGAACACAAAAAGGTGGGGACGAATCATGTGCGGTTTCACCTCCGTCTTGCTCTTGCGCTTCGCCTGCTCCGTCACCTTTGCGATCACCTGGTCCGTGATGTACCTCACGTGTGTTCCACCCCGCGTGGTGGCGATGGAGTTCACAAAGCTCACCTGCTGAAACCCGATGTTTGACACACGCACACACACCTCCCACCGGCCATTCACGCGGGCATAACTCGCCGCCTTTCTCTCCTCGCCCATCATTGGGTACAGATCCACATACTCTAGAAAGGAGGAACAGGCAATCTTTGTATCGTTGAGGTAGCAGCGAAGGGACTTGTCTGTGCAGCCTGCTACATCATACACACGACGTCGCATCATGTGCACCATGTCTTCGCCAAACCCCTGAAGGTTGAACTTCGCAAAGTCCGGGTAAAATGTCACGACGGTGTAGTCCGGCCCCTCAGACGGCGTAATGACGGGTTCCTCGCTTTCCAACATGTTGTTCCGCCACCGCATAAAGAATTTCTTGCGAGAGCGGCTATGCACCGTCTCCACCTCAAACCGCGTGGAAAACACATTCGTTAACTTTGCACCAAAGCCATTTCGGCCGCCAGTGACTTTCGCCTCGGTGTCATCGTAATTGGATGACGTCAGCAAATAACCGAAAATCATCTCTGGTACCCACAAGTTGTGCTCGCGGTGCCGCTGCACGGGGATACCCTCGCCGTTGTTGTATACCCGCACCATACCCCTCTCGGCGTCAATCCACACTTTGATGGCAGTCTGACCGAGCGGGTCCCGCACTTTGTTGTCCGCGGCATTGACAAGAATTTCGTCAAATATTTTATAAAGCCCGGGCGTCCAAGTGCACTTTCGTAACTTCATGATATTCTCCGCCTCGTCGTAGAGCCACATGTCCTCCGTGACAGGTTCAATTGTGCCAATGTACATGTCAGGGCGAGACAAAATGTGTTCATGCTGTGTTTTCTTTTGGTAAATCTCCTCCACAGTTCGATTAGCCATTTTTTTTTTTGTTGTTGTTGTTGTTCGAATGTCCTCTTCACTTCTTCTGTGCGTTTATTCTACGCCCTTCTATGTTACCTCCGTCCTTTTTTTTTTCCCCCCTTCTTCTTTTCTTCCCCTTTTCCTTTCTCAAAAAATACAAACGAATAAGACCGCCTCTGTCCTGTGTGTCCCCCCCCCCTTTTTTTTTTTTATGGTCCTTTCCTCTGATGGATGGTTACTTGTCTTCCCTCCGCTTAATAATGTCGTATTGACTACAACTTTTTCCTCACCCTTTATGCCGGCAATGGTATGAAGTGTGTACAGGCACAAAAAGGAATCAATGTATGAACGTACGGCGTGTTCCCCCTCACCTTTTTTCCTCTTCGGCCTCCTCCCCCGGTGCAAAAGTATTTATGTGCTCTTGCCTCTCTCTCTTTCTCTCTTTCTCTCTCTCTCTCTCTGTGTGTGTGCGTGTCTATATAAATGTATATATACGTATATATCCCAGTCTCTGCCCTTCTGTATTGTTTGTATGTATTGTTTGTGGGGAATTTACCTTCTTTTCGCTCCGCCCTCTTCTGTTCTGTGCCAGAAAACAAAAAAAGTGTCGAATCAGCTCTGTTTGATGTCAGGTCTCAACTCCAAGCACTTCGTAGTGGGGGGGGAAAAAAAAAAAAAAAAAAAAAAAAAAAGCATCGAAGTTCGTCCAAAACAAAAAGAAAAAAAAAAGCCCCTGCAGATGTCGGCCAAAGTGACTTCATCGGCTTGAGTGTGTCTCCTCTTTTCTTTTCTTTTCTTTTTTCTTAACGAGCAACGCCCGGCTGCTTCTGCTGCTGCCGAGACGACGCCATCACCGCCGCGGCGCCAGAAGATGTCAGCAGCGACGCCTCAAACTCCGCGCGGGTTTGATCCTTCGCCTGCTCCCTCGCCCTTTCGTACTCACGACGCACAAACGGGACGGGTATCACAAGGCGGAGGCTGCGGTCCTCGGCGTTGAGGTGCAGGAATCCCATGTTCAGCAGCGTCCGCAGCACATCCGGCTCCTCCAGCCGCACCTGCTGCGCAATGCCGCGCACGCTTGTGACCTTCAGCGTCTCCGTCTGTGCGGCCCGCACATCGACGTCGTCGTCGGCTTCGCTGTTCCGATCGGAGCTGCCGGCGCGTGAGCGTTTCGACCTGCGGCCTTTCGCCGGTGTCGTCGCCTCCACAATGACGCTTTGATCGTCGGTGCTGTCACCATCGCTCACTTCAACGGCAGTCGTGGATTCCGTCACGAGTGTGTGCATCCACGCCACGAGAACACGGCGCCAGTAACGGTCATACGCGGAGGCGCCCAAATCCGACAGTGGCCTTTCCGGAGATCCGACATGTTTCCTACGGTATGCGAGTTCGTAACTTGCGGCTATCATGAACTGCCCAAAATGCCCCAGTTGCGGCCGTCCGTTACTGCCGCCGCTATCTTTCTGCTGCGTTGCACCGCCTGCAAAGCACGGTAAGGTGACAATGCAAGCCAAGTTGTTGTCCGCCACCTGTTTCTCCCACGTGAAGTAGCCAACAAAGTACATCGCCGACGGGTCGTCTGTGTATTGTGGAAAGTGTCGATGGTGAAGACAAACAACGTAGAAAAAGTAGTTGTGCACATCGTGCCCTGCCAACTTATTCTCCAGAAAAGACTTGCCAAGAAGGAATAAGTGGCGGCAGTATGTCACCTTTTGACTACCGTTCACCTCAAACATCGAAAACCCGCGTGATTCATCGCGGTAAATCTCTTGGCCTGGTGGTCTTAATCGGCCCGCGCGGTAGCACCTTGTCTCGTGCTGCATCTGTTCCAAGGTACTGTAAATACGGAGGGAAAATGGACACAAGTATGCGTCGCGAATAAAAGGGTTAATTCCTCCCGTTTCCTCCGACAACCGGAGCCCTTGTCGCTCCTGGTCGGCCATAGATATTGGTGCCAACGGATCATACTCTCTATGAAAAATACCGTAGGGCGCATAATACCAGGGGGCAAAAACAAACTTGCATAAGTACACAAAGTATCGAATTGTTGTCGGTGTGCGGCAGTCACGAAGAAGACGTTCCTCAAAAAAATCCAGTAGCTTCTCCTCACGGCGTGTTCGAATCATTCCCAGCGTCACCTCCCTATACACCGAATTTAAAATAGGGCCATGAATGCGAGTAGACCCGCATGGCGGCGGGGAAACGGTTCCCGCAGCTGCGTTGCCACCGCCGCCGCCGCCTTTGGCCTCCTTCAGCCCAATGTCTTCCAGAGAGAACCACCCACTCAGGCGGTGATTCAAATCCTTCAGACGCACAAAACCGTATAGCGGCGGTGTAACCAGCGGGGCGTGAGTGTCGACATGAAGAAAAGCCGGTGTCCATAGGTAGCGAACCTCCAGCAAATGTCCTCGCCGTACCGTGGCGTCAGGCCCCCGCACGCTACAAGGCGTTCCAAGAATCGACGACTGGCGCGGATACTCCTCGGCCTTCCTGTCGCTGTTCTTCTCCATCGGTTCCTGTTTTCGCGCCGCGCCCTGCTGTCGTTGCTGTCGCTTCGTTTATAGACTTCGTTTTTTGCCGTTGTGAAGGTACCGGGCATCGACAGAAACGCCGCGCACACTTCCATGCACAAAAGAGGCAAAAAAAAAGGAAAAGGAAAAAGAAAAAAACTTAACGGCAGCAGCTTTCTTAGAGAAGGAGCAGACGCCCATTCGGGGTGCACTCCTTCGCTCGCATGTTCCCCACACCCTCCATCTGCCCTGACGTCTTCGTTTTCAGAGATTTCTTCTTTTTTTTTTTTTTTTTCTTCCTCTTTCTTCCTTTTTTCGTTTCAATCTCCATGCGGTAGGGCGGGGAAAGCGCGGTGCAGCCCACCAACCCCACGTGTCCCTAAATTGTGGCCCCGGGCGAGTGAGTAAAGGAAGAGAGCGTGTCAACAACGAAGAACAGAACGAGAACTAAAAGGGGGAACAGGAAAATGACCAAAAAAAAAAAGGCATACAGTGCGTCAAATTCATCAACGTATAAAAAAAATAGGGGGAAAAAATACACAAAAAAAAAGGCCAAACACGCACATACACACAGAGGGAGAGAGAGAGAGGGATGTGCATTCATTAAATTTCAGAAAGACGCTAATGGGCCTGAAAAGCCTTTGAAAAACGTGCTTCCAGGCGCTCCTCGATCTTCCGCTGCAACTGTGAACTTGTCAATACTTCAGCCGCCATCCTTGTTGTGAGGTGTGGATGGACTCCCCGGTTTGGAGTTTGTCGTGGCAGCGGTGACTGCGACGACCGCGCGCCTGAATTCACAAGAATAGTGAAGTCCTCCCCACCAAAATGTCGTGGTGAAAGGTGTTGTTTTTTTTGTTGTTGAATAGGGCGGCTGTGCACAACAGGTACAGGCTGTCGCGGTGTTGTCTTCTTGGCCCAGCGACCCCGCTGTGACGTGTTGCCAAACGAGTGCGAGGTGGGGCTACGCTGAAGGAACTCCGTTTCCATACATGAAGGAAGCTGCTGGGTCTGAAAATGTGGATCTTGCGGTAGAGAAACCCTCCGCATCGACGCAGGCCGGGGGGACCTACTTTGCATCCTCTGCAGTTTCTCCCCCAGTCGCAAGTCCCGCTTCAACGTGCTACGTTGGCGCTCCGCCGACAACAGTGGCGGCGGCGGGGTGAACATGGACACAAAATCCGTCGACTTCTCTCGTGCCTTGGTGGAGTTGCCGTCGTGATCCGATGAATGGCCATCCTTCCTGCACGACACCATGCCACTCTCTTTAATACCGGCAAGAAGAACTTTATTCTGCCCATGTGCTTTCCGCGACCCTGACAGGTACTTCTCCATCTCCTCCAGAAGCTTACACCGTCGTGATTCCATTCGATCAAAACATTGTGCCTGTCTCTGAGCGCGCAGGATCATCATTCGTTGCTCAACAATCTCGCAGGCCAGCATGTTGGACGTTAGGTTTTCCATCTCAGCACGCAGGGCTGACTCAAGCTCCCCCTCTTGTCTCGCGAGCTCTTTAAGATATTCCATCACTTGAGAATCTACCGGCTTTCCTGGAACAACACGAGACAACATGGCATCCAGCAGCACCTCCTCGTGCTCCCATGCAGGCTGTTCCTCATGCCCTCGAAGCCTCGGTGGTAGCGATGATTTATTATCCCCATCAGTGGAGGATTTATGCTTCCGAACGGGTGGCTCCATATCACGAATATAGGAGGGATTAAAATTGAGTCCGGGCCGCCGCTCCACTTGTACGTTCGGCGGAAGATCACAATACGGAAAGGAACCAAGAGAAGTGACCGAAACAGATGGTCTCTCTGAGGCTATAAAATTTTTGACTGCGTCTTTCTCCCCCTCCAGTGGCTCTTGCTGATCATGGGGATCCAGAGGAGGGGATGGAAATGTCGCGGCAGGCAGGGATGTGGAGAAGACCGTCCCATTTTCCAACTTCTTTTCAGAAAATAACGATGGGGTGAGTTGAATGTTTGCTTCTGTCTCTTTGATCGATGATGCCTCGGTATTTTCCTCTACTTTGGGGTTTGTTGAGTCTCTCAGGTTTGTTTCACCAACGTCGGGAAGCTGAATTTCAACTGCTGGTTTCTTCGCCTCTCCATCGGCCTCGGAGGTACTCTTCCATTTTTCCGTGGGTACGCTTCGATCTGGTAGATTTGGGCCCTCTTCAGGTAACTGCGACAGCCTTTCTAATTCCTCCCGTGGCTCCGTAGTGAACTCCTTTTCTTGTGTCCGCAATGACCTCTGCTGGGTGCTGGCCGTCTCCGTGGAGTCATCGACGACAGCCGCATTGATAGTTGCCTTAAGCATTTCACTTGGCGTATCCTCCCTCGGCTGTGGCGGTTTGGATACTGACAGCGACGTAGGTACTGCCGGTGGAGCGGAAACCGCAAAGGGAGGGGGCGTCATAACTTCAAAATTCTTGGCGAGTTCAGTGATGCTTCCTCGGCCCTTCGTCACTTTTTTCGTTCGTGACCACTTGTACATCTCCAGGTAGACAATTTGGTTTGCGGGGTACATGGCACGGAACACATCACAGAGCTGGTCAACGGTGATCTTGCCCTCACCATCGGGAGGGGCGTGTGCCTTGTAGAGGTTCGGTACGTCCAGGCGTACCGCACGCATCAAGGGATCGAGCGTTGAGCGGAGAGTTTTTAGGTCCGTGCGGTCCTCACCGTTGAAAACACCCCTCTTGAGAGCCCCCCGGATGTAATTCCATACCAGATCGTCGTACGAGATTTTTGAGGCCTTCTGTAGTTCATACATGAGGGAGAGAAAACTGTTTGAGTTCAGCGGGCACTTGGCCCGATACTGGTCGATAAGAGCCTGATGCTCAGCTGACGCAATGATGTCCATGACGCTCATCAGTTCCTCCTCGGAGATGGGCTTTCCATCGTGGAAGGACTCGTGTATGTCACGAATATGCTGGCGATACTTGAAGGGCACAGACATGTTTTCTAGCCAAGTTATGATACCGTGATATATGTCTGGATGTAAATATGGATATTTATATTTATATTTATGCCTATATGATTCTCGGTGCGAGAAGACAATCAAACACATTCCAAAAGAATAAATAAATAAATAAATAAATGAGTAATTGGGTGGGGGGGGAGTAGATGACAAGCACAAAAAGGAGTCAATATGCACAAGAACACAACAGAAAAATAAATAACCCCCCTACGGAAGATATACATGAGATTACATCAACGTATACATACCGTTTATGTGCTGCATTGTTGATTCCCGCATTATTCTTTTTTTAAATAATTCAGACGAATTTACTCCCTTCGTTTTGTCCCCCATTTTCTTTTTTCTTCTTTTTTTTTTTTTTTTTTTCTTTTCTTTTCTTCTTCTTTTTCATCACCCTTTGAGTTTCGCTTTTCTTTTAACATCCCCTTTTATTTTACTTTTATCACTTGTTGTTGCGGGTGTTGGTGGTGGTGGTGGTGGTGGGAAAAAAAAAGGAAAAAAAAAAAATTTACGTTGTTTTTTCATCTCACATGCCGCTCTCCTCTTCTCTTCTCTTCTGTTTACTTCGCGGCAGCAGTTCGAGTCCCCACCCCCGTAAAAATACCCCTCGGCCCCCTATTCCTCACACACACACACACACACACTCAGCCCGCGCGGTTTCACTTTCGCTTGTGTTGTTATCCTCCTTTTCTGTAATTTTCTTTCCTTTTCTGTATTTTCTTTCCTTTTTTTTTTTTGTTTTTTTCGTTTGTTTGTTTGTTTTCTTCTTCCTTCCTTCCTTCGTTCATCCTGTCACAGCTGCACAACGAATCGACGAAGCGAGAGGCGATGGGATGAGACGCGGGGCCTCCGTTTACAAAAATAATAATAATAAAAGAAGAAGAGGGGAGAATACGTGAGGCCACCTCATTTACCCCCCCGGCACGCACGCATATGCACGCGGTCTTACAAACACATGGACCTGTCGGCTGATTTATTTAATCTTCTTCCAGTTCAGGTACGTCGCGACACCACCAGAGACGGCGGTGAGAGCGCCAGCCGTCACTGGGCCTGGATGCCACACACCCTTCATGTAGCCGACAGCCGCCATCGTCACCAACACATCTGAGGCATCCTTCGTCAGGTTAATCAGGGCACTCTTTGCCTCCTTGCAAGACGTCGCGGCGTCACTCGCGCGCTTCTGCAGCGCAGTGCGGAGCGCAAGGAGATCCAAGACAGCGGCGAAGAAGAAGCCCCAGAACTGCGACACCTTGCTGTGGTACTGGACGCGCTTAGGCTGACCAGGCACCAGCTTGTATCGCATGAGGAAAGCAACGTTGTCGCCAAGAATGTAGAGGAAGTTGCCAAGCACACGCAGTAACACAATCAACGCCGTCAACTCCATGCGGCCACCCTCTGCGCACTTCGCAAAAACGCTGCGCATCTTAGGAATATCTCCCATCCACTTGGCCATGCGCATCAGGGAGCGACCGTCGGTGATGGAGCTGGAAACCGACTTGTATGCGGACCTGCGGCACTCAACGGCATCGAGGGCGGCAAGAGCCTTCAACACACCGCCAATAAACTTGTAGATCTTGTCTCGACCGTCGGTCTGCCCAAGGAGCTTTACAAACTTGTCGAAGTCAGACATGATGCTATGTAGGGCTTCAAGCAGGAGAAAAACTTCCTTATAATTTTGTTGTTGTTGTTATCACGTTGCTTTAAATGAAGCTGTTTTGCGGCTTGCGAAAATCCACGGTGTCGAGAAGAGAAGTGAAAAGAAGATCGCACGGCACCCCCCCAGCAGTAGCAACCGAAAAAAGAAAAAAAAAAAAAAAAAAAAAAAGAAGAAGCTCCCAGCAATGCACACACACACACACACAAAAGGGGGCGGCAGACCCCTCCCCCTCCGTCCCCGGGCGTTCCAGCATTCGATATCCAACCCCGGCAGCTCAGGGCCGCTCCTCGGAGGCCAAATGCTCCAGCCGTGCCTCCAGCGCCGCAACCTCAGCCTCAACATTCGCTCTCGCAGACGACTCCAAGGCGTCAAAGAAAAACTTTGTCTTGTACCACTGTGGGTGATTCAAAAAAACTCGCAGAAAGGCAGCCCGACCGCGGCAAAAGTCTGCCTCGCTGTGCCAGCTGTACTCCCGCCGAATGTCAAGCGCGTATCTCCGGTAACGCTCAGCCGCAGTGCCCAAAATGGCAAGATCAAGATCAAGAAATATATGAAGAGGAGGAGGTGGCGGCGTTGGCTGCGGGGCGTCGTCCGTGCCGCCAGGCTGCGACGCCCGGTGCGTGTAGCACGGCTCCACCGCCATGTGTTGCTTCGTCTGAAGAATAAAATTCACCACCTCTTCCTCTACGCCTCGTGCAGCGTCGAGGTCATCCCAAAGCAGCGGTCCAACACGCCCCCTCGTCTCACCGTCCTCCAGCGCCGTCGTGTGTGATGTCGCCAATCGGCGGGCTTCATCCCAGAAGGATTGAAACCACGCCGCGCTGCGTTCCTCATTGTCGCTGCGCCTCGGGTCGTAGACCGCGTCGTGAAAGAAAATTGCCAACTCCACAACAAGTCGTCGTGCGCCCTCAGCAGGCAGACGATGCGCCACTGGAGCCTCGGACTGAAACCGTGCAAGGCAGCCCAGCATCTCCTCCAAGTGCGTCATCGTGTGGTAGTGCCGCTGCGGCTCCGTGTAGCGGGCGACGATATACTTTTCGTACAAATCTGTGGCGGCAGCAGCAACAGCGGCAGAGTCTGAGGAACTTCGCTGCAACAGACATCCGACGCGCTGTCCCCAGCAGGCAAATGTCAGTGGAAAAGCCGCGGTGGTAACTTTCATATCGCTTCCGCTCGCTTTCATGCGCATGCCACGTAGCCTTCCCCCCACCCTTACTCAGTCCCTAAATATATATATATATATACTCACACCTGAAGCGTGCAAGGCAAACACACGCACACCCAATCATAAAAAAAAAAGAGCTAAAAAGAAAAAAAAAAAAAGGTGTTGAAGGACGCGCAGCCGACAACAAAACAAGAACAAAAAAATTCTCTCCTTTGCGTGGGGAAGCCCACGCGGGGGCTCCAGTGCCAAGAGGGGACTGTGCAAAGCTCCGCCACAAGGTATAAACCCGCGGCAACGGACGCAATAAACTCGTGTCAACCACAAAGCAAGACGAAACACAAACTGATGCGAAGAAAGAAGAGAAGGTGGAGGCGAAGAGAGAAAAAAAAAAAAAAACACCCAAGACTTAAAGCACCCCGTTGTGAAGAGGCATAAGGGCGCAAATGTGTCCGCCAACCCCCCACCACCCCGCGCCATACATGACAACAATGGATGCCCAAACCTTTTCTCCTTTTGTTTCTCCAAAACTGCCGTCTTCTTTGCTCCCTTCTCCCCCTTCTTTTCTTGTTTCTTTGCTTTGTTGTTGTCCCCACCGGACCGGATGAACAACGCCGCCTCGCCCCCACAAAAGACAAAAAAAAAAATCCTTTTTTGGCTCCCTCAGTGGTTGGAAAATTTTTGTTCCCGCCCCTACGCCTGTTTTCTATCGGGCCCCGGCCGTCTCCACCACACCCCTCCTCCTCCCCTCTCTTTTTCCAGGCGTTCGCTGACTTCTGACACGGCGACACGCATACGAGTGGAGACACGACAGTAAAAATGTAAAAATTTAAAAAATTAAAAAAAAAAAGAAAAAAAAAGCAAATAATAAATATGTGAACAGACGCCAGCGTCACACATACACACACCCAAAAACACAGAGGAGCATACATATATTTAGGTGTAAAAATATGTAAGGATAATAACTGGACTATACTAAACACGCGTTGTATTGGTTTTCTCTCATTGCCTGTTCAATTTTCATTATTATTATTATTTTTTTTTTTTTCTTTTCTTTTTCTTTTTTTTTCCATACAATTGTCTTTTCTCTTCCTGCTCATTCTTAAGTGTGCATACATACATATGTATACATAAATATATATATATATATTTATTTATTTATTTATATTTATGTGTGTGTGTGTTCTCCTCCCTGCATGCGGTTCCAGAAAATAAAGTAATGAAAATAAATACGCGTCTCTTTTCGTGCTGTGCTGTTCTGCTTTTTAATATTTATTCCGCTCTCTCTCTCTCTCTCGTTCTCCCTTGAATTTCGACTTCATACCTTTTCGTTTTCGTTAGATAAATATTTATTTTTATATTCTTTTTTTCTTTTTCGCTTCCCTTCTGTTTCTTTTTTTTTTTTTTTTCTTTTTTTGTTTTTTGGCCTTCCACCGTTATTCTCCTCTTTTGGGTCTCATTGCGGTGCGTGAAGGGACGTGTGGGAGGGGAGGGGAGCAGACGCATCGGCGTCGGGGTGCCGTGAAGGCACCGTTTGGAACCATCATTATTTTGCCTCTCCATTAGCACACACACATGCACACACGCAAGAGAAAAAAAGTAAAATGAATGTCGGCTTCCCCTCCCCCCGCAAGCAGACGCATAGTTTTCAATACATATAAAATATACATACATATACATAAACATACATATATATATATATATATATAGAGAGAGAGGGAGAGGGAGAAGGCGGAGGACACACGGCGTTTTATTACATGGCATGTGTACACAAATAATAAACACTCCTTTCTATGGCAGTGCGAACTTCTTGCTGTAGTACTCCTGCGATGTGAGGTTTATTTGGCCCAACAGTCGCTCCAAGTGTGCCTCGACGACCTGATTGCCGTTCTCCGGCATCAGCGTGAATTCCAGCCCAACATACGCACGGAACTCCCATTCCTGAACCTTCTGCCACGTCAGGCTGGCGAATGCCTCGTCTTGTCGGAAGCGTGTCTTGACGTATTGAATCTTCTTGTGAATGTCGCCTGTCTCAATGAACTTCACGGCGAGTAGAATACACGCGGCGAGAGCGAGTCCGCAGTTCCGCTTGCCAACCATTCCCCGCATGACAAGTCGCTCAAAGTACCAATTGGCATGCGCGACGGTAACCACCTCTATAGGGGAATTCTCCTCGAGAGCAAAGTTAAGCAGCGCAGCGCGTATTTTTCGCAGATGGGTGAGTTTAATCTCACGTATTTCAAGCTCGGGATGCTGAATGTAAAAGTCATTGTTAATATCCTTTTTCAGCACCTTCATATCCACAAAAGATATAACAGAGGCACGGTACGACTGCAGAACTATAAGTTTCTTACGCCGTTCTCCGCCTGTGATGTTGCCTGTGTCCAGAAAAAAGGCATCATGAAAGACCGGGTCATTCCTGCAGCGGTTGTGAGTGAGCATCTTGCCGTACGATCGCATTGCTCTTTCACTGTGGCCCCGCATCTGCCGCAGGCGATCGGATCCATCATGCGATTCACAGTCGGAACGACTATCCGTCTTGTCATTTATGTCAACGGAGCAGCTGTCACCGTCCAACTCCTCGCCGCCCGCGCCGCCGTCTTCCCCTCTCTCAATGACGGTATTTTCATCGCTCCTATTGCCGCGACGACGCTGGGGGTCTGGGTCGTAGCATTCCCCAAGATAGGGCTCCACAAGACGATCATCCTGCCAGTACGATGCTTTCAGCGGAGCAAAACAAGAAAGAATTGTACACAGGCTGGCAGGGTGATTGTATTGGACTCCCGCCGCTCGGCGGCCCACGCTCAAGCTCCTTCCAGCATCCCCATTATCTTTTAAAGAATCTCCCTTTTGTTTGGCGGCCGTGTTTCCGCAATTCTTATTTTGTGAACCTTGATTCTGATGATGCAGCTGAGATTCCAGGGCAAGACGCAGCCGGACCCGCTGTCCCTCGCCCCGCACCAATGTCTTTACAGAAAGCGGTGCTTCTCCTTGGCGCAGAAAAGGTAAATCCATGTCAATTCCGTGGTGTGCGTTGCCATGACCTTCGCCACGGTGCGTGGGCTTGCGTTGGAGTGCCAGTCGCTTTGCCATTTCACCCACTGAAGTAAGAAAGGCAACCTGCTCCGGGTAAAATGAAGAGGGGGCGGTGGTTGGGGGCGGTGCTGGCGGGATTGCGGCAGACGATAATGACGATGCGTTATCCATGACGCTGGAATTGGAGAACAAAGTGTTTGGCGACTCTGACGCTGATTGTTGTTGCTGTGCGTGAATGGACGGGCAAGCCTTGCTTTGCCTTTCCGCACCGTTGCTGTTGTCATCCCCGCTGTTGCTCGGGTGCCCCTCCATGGCAAGAGGAGGTTTGACGCACAACCCCATGAGAGCCGCCGTCGTGCGAGCCAACTCCTCTTGGCGAAAAGGGTGGCCGCCATGGCTGGTGTTCTTCTGCTTCGTGTTTAATTTCGGTCGCGGGTTTACCCCGCTAATAATATTGTCGCTGGTTTTATTCCTACAACTGCTACAACTACAACCGCTGCTAATACTGCTACTACTACCACTACAACTGCTGCTGTCTCCGCTGGCTTCTTCGCCGGTTTCAGAGTCCTCAGCATTTCCTGTGCTGCCGCTTACATGTCCCTTGCACAATTGCGGTTCCTTCTGCGGCAGAGGCGGCGGGGATGTTGATCCTTCCCGGGAGGATTTCTTGTGGTGGTTGGCCAGTTTTGCTCGATTTCCGTCCAACAAGACGCCCGTAAAAAATGCGGCGGCAGGAAGAGAAAAAAAAAAAAAAAAAAAACGGTGGGTAATAAGGCAGGCAAAAAGCAAATTTCTCTTCCAGTAAAGAAATATATATATATATATATATGTGTGTCTTTTTTTTGTTTTTCCTTCTTCTTTGTTTTGTGTATTTGTTGTTGTGGTGGTGGTTGCTGTTCTTTTTTTTTTTCCTCCTCTTCTTCCTTCTATGCTGTGCTCTGTTCTTCCTTCTCTTTGTCCTCTCGCTCCGCTTTCTCGGCTTCGCTGTGGGTGTCCTTGCTGCACGGCAACTGTATTTATATATATATATATATTTGTATCCCCTGCAGGCATCATTGCGTGGTTCAGACAGAGATGAAGAGGAAGGGGAAAAGGGAAAAAGGGAAAAAAAAAAAAAAAACATCACACACCGTGAGTGTACATGACACACAGAGACAGACAGAGAGAGAAATAAAGGGGGGTGCATCCAAGCTGGCTGAGATTTAAAATAACGCCGTGACACAAGTTATGAAGGACGTGCAGCAGCCGGTGGTGTTCTTTTTGTTTTGTTCTCCCTTTTTTTTTTGTTTTGTTCTCCCTTCCTCCACGGGGGCCCTCGTCATTTCCACCGCACCTCGCGCCTTGCAGGCGACGGAGCAAAAGTGGAGGAAAGAGACGTTTTCTTCATTTTGTTTTTGCCCCCGCCTCGGCCCGCTGCAGTCGTGTGCCCCTCCGCCGCCCCCTCAAATGCACGCACACAGACGGGTCCGCGGAGCAGACACACCACGACGCCCGTCCAAAAAAGAGGGAGGGCAGCGGGGCGGAAGTCCACCGCACCACGTAAAAGTACACCACAACAAAAAAAAGAAAAAAAAGAAAAAAAGACCTCGTGTGTTTTATATAATTGTGAGTAGACATGAAACAAAAGATGTGAAAAGACCGAAAAAAAAAAAAAAAAAAGAAAAACACACATGGAGTCAAAAAAAAAAAAAACTGCACAAAATACATAAACATACATAACATTGAAATGGATAAATATAAAACGCTTTGCGAGCCAAAATCAACCAAAAAAAAAAAAAAAAAATCATGCGCTCAATGAAAAAACGCAAAAGAAATTTGTGAATGAAACAAAACTCAAAATAAAATAAAATTAAAATCAAATTAAATAATATCCTTTTTTTTTTTCTTTCTTTCTTTCTTTCTTCTTCTTCTTGCCTCCCCCTCCCGCTCCCCTCCCCTCCACTGCAGTTTCCTTTCATTGCTGGTAAACAAGCATGTGTCTGTTGGTCTGTGTCCGTGTGTGTGTGCCATATTTCTGCTCGGATAACACAACCATGCAGACTTTGCATAAATAAATATATACATTTAAATTAAATATACATATAAATATATAGATAGATAAATAGGTAGATCCCTCGTGTTCTCCATTATATTATATAAGTGAATTAAGTAATAATAACACGACTAAGATTATTACTACGACTAATAATAAATAAATAATAAATAAATACAAAAACTAATCAATAAATAAACATACAAACCTGAAAGAAAAAAACAAAAAGACGCGTGTATATAAACATATATATACATATAGATGGATGGATCGATATACACATACATGCATTCCCACAAAATATTGTATGAGAGCATGTGTGGAAGCATACATACACATGTAAAAATAAAAAATAAACGGGGGAAAGAAAGGGAAACGGGGAGATAATAGTTTGCACGCACTGGATTTCAGTAGAAGAAAAAAAAAAAAAAGCTGGGAATTAACACACACACCAAAAGAAAAAAAAAAAAAGAATTGATTCTCCTTTTCATTGCTACGTTGTCTCCGAATGATGGGGTAAAGTGTAGGGGGCTCATGTCTCGCCGCACATCGCCTCCCCCTGTTCTTCTCAACTGCGGTATCAACGCAACGCAAAGTGGTGGAAATCACTGAAAGGGAGCTGCACATGTTAATATGTACGCACGTGCTCTAAGCAACGTCGCTACGCGTACGTGTACTTCTGCGCGTGCAGATCCCACCCTCTCTCCCTCGTTGACACACGCACCGTAATGGGGGAGCGACAAAAGCAGCAAAAAGTCCGCAGAGACACTACCGCACAAAGAAAAATAAAACAAACGTGGCGTGAACAGTACACGAGTAAAAGAGAAGAGTGGTGGTAAAAGTTTACAAAAGAGCCCACGCCCAACATTCACGGCTTGGCAGTAACGGTACACACACACACACAGAAAAAGAAAGAGAAAAATACGTCAAAAAAACTGCACTCAGAAAGAGAAATAAAAAGTAAAAAGATGGAAAAAGAAAAAAACCCAAAACAAAAAACAAAAATATAATATATACATATATACATATATATATATATTGAAAAAGGTGAGACACTCTATTGAGAGAGCTGCCAGGCAGCTGGAAGGAGCTGAATGATCTATGGCCTGCATTCACCAGCTGCTCCTCATCGTCCTTGCGTGGCAGTTGTCTCCTTCGACAAGACCCCCACCCCCCTGCGCCCAGGCAGCAGTGAGTTCAGATGTTGAGCGGGACCAGTGGCATCACCTGTCGTGGTCTTGGTGGTTGGGCACTCCGTTAGGAGTGCGAGCAGTCGTGGGGCATAGGGAGGACACAACTTCGGCGGGTTATTAAGCCGCAATTGCTGCAGGGACCTGCTTGTGGCGTTTGTGACGCCATTGCAACATAATGTGAGGCCCATATCCCTCCGACGTCGGTCATGGTGCGGAGCGGAAGGCGGTTGTCTAATGCGGTCAGCCACTGGAAGGATGCGTTGGCGAAGCGGCGTTGTCTGGTCACTCCCGCCACATGTCGTTTCCAAGAGAACTGCGTTAGTGCTGGTGGTTTCACCGTTTACTGTCCTCTTCACTGGGGTCCCACAGAAAGTCACGGGGGCTCCTGTGCCCAGTGAGGGTGGCAGTGAGAGATCCGGCACGCTGCAGCTGCTACTGTTACCAGTAACCAAATGATGTACAAAGCCACGCCCAAGTGATGCGGCCAATACTAGTGGCGATTGCTGCTGATGGTGTTGTTGTTGCTGCTGTGGTACAAAACCGGGAGAGTAACCACCAAGGCCTTCTGTGATCCCCGCTGCCGTTGCTGTCTTCATCATTACACCACCGCCGCTGAACCGTGACGCAGAGGTGCCACATGGCAAAGATGACCTCCCGGTTTGTGGCGCGCTTGACAAGGCCTCCCGCATCGGTTTGCCGTGGTACGCTGCGCTGGAGGCGATGTGCGGTGACAGTCGCACGACGGACCTCGTCACGTGGGGCTCATCCTCTTCACCACGCGGCGGAACGGATGCGTTGGCGGCGGTGCTAGCGGACGCCATCAGTGTGCCCCCCTGTTGAGAACGTCCCTTAAAGAACGCGACAAGTTCCTCCTGCTCCATATCTCTCGGTGTGTCTTTGCCGCGCGCGGTATCCACTTCCAGAAGCCACTGGACAATGTCAGTCTCATTCTTTATGAACGGCAGTGTTTGCGAGCCCGAGTGCCAATGATAGAACTCGTTGGGACGGTCAGAATTGCTGCCACTGTCCGCCGAAACGACGCCGATGCGCTTCGGGCTCTTATCCACTTCGCCCATCTTCGTCGACGCCGCAGTGCGGAGGGGAGCGGATGTATACACACACGCGCAGGCGCAGAGTAATGAATTGATATCTCCCCCCCCCACGCCAAATGCCTGGCACAAGGCAAGCAAAAAAAAAAATGTATATATATATATATATATATATATATATATATATATATTGTTTTGTTGTCTGTGTTCTCTAAACAAATAATAATAATAATACAGTAGGCACAACAACAGCAACAACGGCACTATTAAAGAAGAAAAAATGACGACAAAGCTGTTGGTGCAAAGTAGAAGCCGTCCGTTTGGTTCCTCCTCCCGTACGCCCCTAAAAATAAAAACGAAAAAAAAAAAGAAATTTGTGCCTGCCTTTTTTTTTTTTTTTTTTTCGTTCGTTCTCTTTTGTATTGTTTAATGTGAAAGGTTTTTCTTTTTGTTTTTGTTGTTGTTGTTGCTTATATAAATATATTGTTTTATTTTTGGTGGGGGGAGAGAGATAGAAAATTCTTCTGTTTTGTTGTTTTTGTTTTTTTTTTCTTGATTTTTACCTTTCGTTCTCCTCCCCCCCACGCGCCACTCACTCTCTCGCTTCTGTCTGCTGGTGTTGCTGCTCCTGCTGCGTCCCCCTTTCTTTTATCCCCTCGTGTGTGCCTATGCCTGTGGCTGTGTGCCTGTGTGTTTTTGTGTGTATATCTGTCTATCTATCTATATACACCGAGTAGGGGCTGAGATGAGGCGGAAGGAGAAAGAGAAACAGAGTGAAACAATCATCGCCCAAACTCATTCGCTTGTATCCCCCTTCCCCACCCCCTCCGCAAACAAAATTACACAAAATGTAAACATAAAAGATTAACACACACGCACGAACAGAGTGAGTGTAAAAGAGAGAGATGATACACCTCCTCTCCGTGGCATTAGGGTCCGCTTCATCCCCGCGTGCCGCTCCCTCAGTATTACCCCTCTGACGTCAATGAACTCTCGCGCGGTGCACGGTAGTGGTACCAGTAATGGGCACGCTTCACAATGCCGAGCAGCTCCTCACCACGAAACCGTCCAAGTGCCCCATAGCCACACTCCACCTCGCTATAATGTTCCACATCATCATGAAAACCGCACCCCTTCGTCGCCACGGATACAGGAACCGGCTCGCAGCTGTGATCACCGATCGAAACGGGTGTGGAATGATCCGAGAGTATTGCCACCGTGCTGCCGTCTGGAAGAGCTGTCCACAGCCTCTGGAGGGCCTCCCCACATCGCTGAAGCATCATTAGTTTCTTCTCAAGACTCCTGTCGTGGCCGGCGTCGTCGACACCCTTGACATGAATGACAGCAAACACGCTGCGGACCATCCCTTCTTCCCTCGTGGCCCCATCCACGGCACCAGCAAGACCGAATTCACGTAGAGCAGCGTCCACCTTTGCGTTGACGTTTGTTTGGTAATCGCCCCGTTGCTCCAGCAGGCGC